TGTTTTGTTAATCCTCCCCTGAAGGTATTTTTTCCATTGACTTTTAGAGAAAGTGGAAGGAAGGGGGAGAGACAGAGAGAAACATTGATGTGAGAGGCACACATCCATTGGTTGCCTCCCATAACCAGGGCCGGGGTTGGAGCCTGCCATCGAAGTACATGCCCTTGACCAGAATCGAACCTTCAGTCGGCAGGCTGATGCTCTATCCACTGAGCCAAACTGGCTAGGGCTAGTTCTCACTCTTTAGCCTCACCATTCCTCACTTACTTTGTCTACCTTTCAGCTCACTCGCCTCTCCTCCTGGATTCCAAAAAGAAAAATATTTGTGCATCAGAAAGTTTCCTTCCCAAGAAGCTTCCCTTAATAGCTTTCTCCTTTAGGTAGAGAAATCTGCTTCTGGGTCAAGGGGAGGCCGCTATAGTGTTTTTGAGAAATAGAACAATGCACGCACATCCCACGTGGGGTAGGTTGCTGAGTTTCATCAGGAGCTTTGACAAGAGTTGCCAAGCAAACATTCTTCAGTCCCAGCCTCCGAGCAGTTTTTCATTCCCTGCTCCAAAAAGTTAGCAGGTGATTAGTACCAAAAATGCCTCCCTTAACTAACACCCAGTGGAATCTATGGAAAGGACATAGCATTTCTTTGAAATTCTAGATGGGAGTTAAGGACTACCTGACTCCAATTGCCTTCACCTCTTAATCACATATCTTCCTAAACACCACCCTCCTTCCCTATAAACCCATTGGCCCCTCAGCATACCTAATACTGTTCTCCTCCCTTTAGATTCTTATCCCTTACTCCCCCCCCCCCAACCAAATTCTCAGAATTAAATTATGATCTTCTCCCAAATGACATGACAAGCTAGAAGGGCAATCTGAGGACCGCTCTGAAAATACATGATGTAGAAAGTAAATGTTACAGCTGAATTGCAGTTGACAAGTGGCGGTTTGAGGCATCAGCAATGAATTCCACTTTTTCTACAGGTTTTTTTTTTCCTTTTACTTCATTTTTAGTATCTATTGATTCTAATAGATAGAAGTTAAACAAAAAAAAAATAAATGAGAGAAATGCTAAAGAAAACCCAGATTAAGCTCCTTCTGGACTGGCAACCATGGTAACTTCTATAGCTCAGGGTGATTTGGACAGACCCTTTCATACCGCTGGAAACATAGAAGGACTAACACCAAACCCTGCTTCTCCGTATTTAATTACAAACTTGGCAGAGTGGAGACTCTGTACCGATTAAAAGAAAATCAATCAGTGCTTATTAGCCATAACAAGTCAATAAAAACAGTCAGCTGGAGAAGTAATATTAAGAACACACTCTTTTTTTTTTTCTTTTTATTGATTTCAGAGAGAGAGAGCTAGAAACATCGATGATGAGAAAGAATCATTGACTGGCTGCCTCCTGCACGCCCCCAACTGGGGACCAAGCCTGAAACCTGGGCATGTGCCCCTGACCGGAATTGAACCTGGGACCCTTCGTTCCACAGTCCGACGCTCTATCCACTGAGCCAAACCAGCTGGGGCAACAGCACACTTGTTACCATCAGACATAAGCCCCTGAGAATTTTTAAGCTTCCGCAGCACATATTATTTTATTGTTTCACTGCCTGATTTGGAGGAGTTTCTGCTTGGGCGATACCTAAAGTTGTTTCCTGCAAGTGCAACTTGAATGAATTTTACAATCATTTTATATTGTGGTTCCAGAATAACTCTGTCTCCAAGGTTGTGAATATGTCTGCTGGTGTGGGCTTTTCATTGCTTTGCCCAGTGAGGAGGGCCTCATATTGTAGTGGAGAACACACTGGGCTAGAAATGTGAGGCAGGATCTAGGTTCCAGGAAAGGTGTGTAATTAATAGTGCGAATGTTAGGCAGTTCATGCTTCTGGGCTTCAGATTTCCCGTATGTAAAGAGAAAAGAGTAGACGATCTCCTAGGGCCCTCCCAGTCCCTAAATCCTGTAGTTCTATATATAACATTCTTGTAAATTTTCAACATTAGAGAAGAAGCAGATCTATGAGTTACTGAATAAAATATCTATTTATTTTCTAGTTCTTTCAGTGAAAGTTTACGCAGAAGACGGACAAATGTTTTTTGGTCTTTTCCTGGGAGAGATCCTAAATTTGACTAGAGGAAACCAAGCTAAGAGACTTGGCCTTCTGTTCTTGAGGACAAATAAACCATTGTCTTACACTTGAACTTCTTTCCCTTTTCAGATCCAACTTAGACGTAATGTTTCGCTCAAGATCAGGCTTGTGGTTTTAGGAGATTCTGGTCTGGCCTGCCTCATTTTAAGACTTCTATCATCTCTTTTCAAAACCTGAGGAGTACCTCATTTCCTGTTTGAGAGTTCCTTGGGCTTTGCCAGCCCCCAGCCAGGCCTTGCCAAGAGTTCCGGCTGGGAAGGACAGTCTGAGCTCATGGTAGAGAACAAGCTGGCACCACAGTTGTAGTGACTCACCAACCTGGTTGCCCACTTTGCAATGGCAAGGGCCACACTGTCGAATAGAAAGACCTGCGTTTTAGCAAAGTGCAGTCGGATCCCAGGGCAAAATCATCTCAGCCTCTATCTCTGATCTTCCCTTTCACTGGCTGTTTTGGACACAAGGCGAGAAAGGAAATTATATCCTGGATTATGTTTTGTTTTAAGATTAATGAACAGGTCCTTGGTTTTATGTCCATTATGTTCTAGGAATTTAGTGGTGATTACAAGCCAGTGAACATAGGTCACAGCAAAATGAACATTCAAGATTAGGTGAAAACATTCCTCTGAAATGTCAGTATTCATTTTTGGAGTGTCAGTTGCTACATTTCTGTAATTCATCATTTTTTTTCTTGGCTTAGAGTCAAGATGAGAAATGATATTTAGACCAAAGACATTGTTTTATTATATAGCCATTGCTTTTTAAAATGCAAATACACTCTTTTCCTCTCTCTCTCTCTCTCTCTCTCTCTCTCTCTCTCTCTCTCTCTCTCTCACACACACACACACACACACACACACACACACACACACACACAAACACACAACACCCAAATTCTAGAGAAAGTCCTTTCAAGACTTACAGGAGAAAATTAACCAAGGTTAGAGCAATGGCAACACTAAAAGGCAATGATTTCACTTTATAAAAAGTCTTGTACAATACACAGGTGTTTTTTAAAGCATGTATTATGATTAAAGACTGTTACATTTCTAAATTAATACAATTCTTGTCTATTTTCAAATCATATATAGGAACCATTTAAAAGTATTTTATATTACAATCAGTGACCTAAACCCAACTAGTACAAGTTTATAATGTGCATAGGTTTACCCCATAGAGAATTAAATTTTAAATTATAAGTCTTGTCCTAAAGTTGTGGAACTTTAGCTTTTGGTATTAACATGGAAGAATATTCAATGGCTATTTTAGCTTTAATGTGCACTGAAATAAAGTGCACATGGTATTTTTTTCCTCCAAGTGTTCTTTTGTTAAATATGGAATATTTTTAGCATTTTGTTTTTAATGTATACATTATTTTTATTAGGTCATTTGGTAAAAGATACAATATGTAATAATAATGGCCTCTTGCTTTTTCCCTAATTTTATTATTTCAAGTCAAACAAAAATGGATACTTTTCTCTTGGGAAAAATGAATATGAGGGTGTGGATGCAAAAATGATTATTTAGAGAATTTTTCCCTAACAGATTAGCATTTTTGATGGATCGTATTTCAAAGCTGATTATTCTCAAAGAAAAGCAGAGCAATATTAGAATTTCCAAGTATATTGTGTTGTTTAAAAAGTATTTTAATACATTATTCAAATCGTCGTCAGTTATTGGTTTTAAAAAAGCAGTATCTGTTGCAAATGTGAAATTTTGCTGTTGCACCTTACCAACTCTAGTTTCTTTAGGATAAAAGTGGAAATTATTAATATCAAAGACACAATTTAGAGCTCTGTCAATTTTTTTTTTTTTAACTTTAACTGTGATAGGCATCTCTGCAAGGTGGGTTTTACATATTTTTTTCCTAATTTTTTTTTCCCTCCTTTCAGTAAGAAGGATAAGCTTTTAGAGTACCCAGTCACCGTGGTAACTGCCAAAAAAATTCTCCTGAAGTTTGAAGAGGTCAGCTAACAGGGTCAACAGCTCTGGCCTCTCTCTGCGCTTGGTCTAGCATGCCCCAGCCTGCGGTTGGAGTGTCAGACCAGCTCTGACCCTGGGAGGTGGGCTTCTCCGGCTCTGATATAAATTTTTTGAGTCAGTTCATGGCCTGGACTCTCCAGGTGGCCTCCAAAATCGATTTTGACCCCCTGACCCTGTCTCACGGAGGCATAGCATTCACCCTAAGTAAGGATTTAGCCAGGAATGACAGCTTTCCACTGAGCGTTATTGGGGACAGTATAAACAGTTTGGAAAGCAAGTAAGGAGGTGTGAGTGCTAGAAATCATTAAAAGCACATTAAAAAACACTTTAAAGAAAATTCTCTTTGTAAAAAAAAAAATGTATTCTTTGATTGGACTTGTAGGATTTAAAAAATCAAAGAATAGTTTTGAATATACTTAGCAAACCCACACAACTTTATCTTTTTATATACTTTGTTACAAATATGCAAATAAGATAGTCTGAAGCAACAAAATAGGTACAACAGGGATGTGACATGTACAGAAAAGGCAAGCTAGTTATTAAAATAATATACTTTTTAGTATTTTAAATACTAAAATTTGTGTGTTGAAATGTTTAAAATGGGAGAATAAGGAACCTTAAAAAACAACAACATCCAGTTTGGAATGAAAATAAGCTTGTGCTGCTTTTACTTTGTAAACTAGCCAATGAACTCCTTTGTATACAAATGAGATAAAAATTATAAATATGAAAAGTTAGACCTTGTATAGAGCTAAAGAAGAGAAAACAGGAAATTAAAAGTCTCTGAATTAACTTGGAAAATAAAATTAATGTAGATAAATCATCAGTGACTCTTTTTTCCTTCCTTCTTTCCTCCTTCCTTTTTTTTTCAGGATGCCACTCTGAATGTTTTATTTTCTCCAGGGAAGTAGAGTTCGCTTTGAGAGCTCTAGCCTGTGAACTCCGTATGTAAATGTGGTCATCAAGCAAGACTGAACTACCAAGAGGGAAGATTTTCAATGTTTCGCTTTCTTAAAACCCTTCACAGCATCCTTCCTCCAGTGGAACTTTACTCAAAGTTTCCCCCTTCCCAGAACTGTTGAAAATGGCTCCAAAGCAACAGTGCAATAGCTCAACCAATTGTACTATGAAGCTGTTGAGATGACATTTTATCAGAATCTTTTGTAAAAATTAGATTTTAAGTAGGGGTGAGAGTCCTTTGGGAAGAGGGGACAAGAGAGAGTAGAAGTGGGAGGGGGAACCAAGCTGTTCATATAAGTATATATACTCTTTGTGTGTGAAGGCCTCTGTGTCTTGGCTTCTCACTATGTTAAATCCCTATTATAAAACTTATCTTCACAAAGCCTATTATAGTATTCTGGGAACAAATTGGACCATGAATAACTGAGTTGGAAGTGTAGATTATTTTCTACTCAGGGAAAGTTAGAGATGACAACAGCTTAACTAAAAGAATAGTGATTAATCTTAAATAGATGGATTTCAAAGTTTCACTCTTGGTAAAGAATACCTTTGATATTTCCCCTCTTCACACTCAAGTTTCCAGTTTCTTTGTGCTAAGAATTGTCCTAGTGATTACACCGTCCACCTCATACAGCACGGCTCTGGCAGTAGATCGTTTCCTCTCACACTGTTAATCTGTCGGAGAGGTGGCCAGAATGACACTCTGCTTCCTAGAGGTTAAATATATGGTTCCAAAGTGAAACCTGTGCTTAGATGTCAGACTCACGCTTAGGAATGACATCTTACACAATCATAATTCTCAATTAGATAAAATTGTTATTTTTTTTAATCTTAAATTTTTTTACTGCCCTATAGCTTATAAAGCACTTCTCAGCTCATAATTTTGTTGGATCCATAGAATAATGTTGCAAAGTAAATATCCATCCCATTTTACCAATGGAAAAGCTGAGTTATTTGCATATTGTGACCTGGCTGATAAAATAAAGAACTGAAACACCAACTCAGATTTTATAAAGCTTCTATTTCAAGTGTTTAACCTATAACAAGAGTCTTTAAAATTATTTTTTTGTGTATTACATCCCTGAAAATGAAGATTTTGTATTAAAAAGCAAAAGTCTTTATATTTCACAGACAAAAATGTTAAAAGACACAACTGAAAAAAATTCTATTACTTTAAAAGTGAATTTTGCCAACTATTGTTTTCCTTTGTGTGTATGTATGTATATATATTCTTTTATAGTTGAAGATCTTAATTTCTAAAAGTCAAATATGGCCAGCCCTATATACATTAACTAACCACCTGGAACTTTTTTTTAAAATATATTTTATTGATTTTTTTACAGAGAGGAAAGGAGAGAGATAGAGAGTTAGAAACATCGATGAGAGAGAAACATCAATCAGCTGCCTCCTGCACACCTCCTACTGGGGATGTGCCCGCAACCAAGGTACATGCCCTTGACCGGAATCGAACCTGGGACCTTACAGTCCACAGGCCGATGCTCTATCCACTGAGCCAAACTGGTCAGGGCGACCACCTGGAACTTTTTTAAATGTACATGAAAACTGTAGATTATATGTTTCAAAATAAAATATAACAATAAATAAGTCCTTTGAAGCAGGTTCAGCATGTTAAGTAATTATTTGAGAACATGCAATTGATTATTAGAGAGTGCAATGGTTGAAATTTTCCTTTTAGTGTTTTTCCCCCAGCTATATTGAAGCATAATTGGGAAACAAAGTAGTAAGATATTTAAAGTGTACATCATTCTGATTTAATACTCATATATATTGTGAAAGCACTTCTCCCATGTAGTTAATTAACCCACCCATCACTTTTATTTTGTGTGTGTGTGTGTGTGAGAACATTTAAGTTCTACTCTCAACGAATTTCAATTTTTTAACATAGAGTTATCAACTATAGTCATCATGTTTTAATTTAGATCCTCAGACTTTACTCATCTTTTAGCTGAAAGTTTGTACTCTTCCTAATTTTCTCACTCCCCAGCCCCTGCCCTATTAGTTTTTAGGCTGGTATCTCTTAACATCTTAACAAGTTTGGATAAACAAAGTTGTATAAAACTACTTTTGCTTCTCTTGGGCTTTTACTCTCCATATTAAAATAAAGTTTGCAAAATACTCTAAAAAGGTTTAGTTAACTTGATATTGACATAATCTATGTAACCATACAGAAGTCAAGAAATACAAAAGATAACACCATGTGATTCTCTTATGTTTTTAATTATGTTGTTTTAATTATGTAATGTAGGTAGTGTGGCTGTTAATGTGGAAATTCTAAGCTTTTTATTCTTAAATTGTATACAATTAAATTAGTCATTTTATATATAGTAAAATTAAGGCTTTTGCTCCTGAATTATGCTGGCAGCCAGACAAATCCCGTCAAGCTTGTTAGGATTAGAGAAAAATGAAAGAGTCTAGAAAAGCTAACTGCTCTGGTTGGAAGTTGCATTTGTGAGGTTGTATCAATAGTGGCATATATTTTAACAATTTTTTGTGCTAAAGTTTTTCAATTACAATATGACATTAGACTGAGATTGTTGATTTTGATTTGGACATAAATGATCAAGCCCAAAATTCAAATGTCTAAGTGTAGTGATGGCGAACCTTTTGAGCTCGGTGCGTCAGCATTTTGAAAAACCCTAACTTAACTCTGGTGCTGTGTCACATATAGAAATTTTTTGATATTTGCAATCATAGTAAAACAAAGACTTATATTTTTGATATTTAGTTTATATATTTAAATGCCATTTAACAAAGAAAAATCAACCAAAAAAATGAGTTCGCGTGTCACTTCTGACACACGTGTCATAGGTTCGCCATCACTGGTCTAGTGTCTTCTCTACTAATTTGCAAATTAAGAAATGCAGAGCCCTGGCTGGGTAGCTCAGGTGGATCAAATGCCATCCGGATCTGCCGAGGTTGTGGGTTTGCTTTCCAGTCAGGGCTAATACAAGAAGCAACCAATGAATGCATAAATAAGTAGAACAACAAATCAATGTCCTCTCTCTCTCTTTCTCATCAATTAAAAATAAATTAAGAAATGCAAAAATAAGGACTTATATTAACATTGATATGTTTGTTTAGATGCTCTGAAATTTTTAAGTTTATTATTTTTACTACTTACCCCGTTCATTTTGTTCAAGTTGTTTTTTGTTGTTGTGGGTTTTGTTGCTTTGTTTAAGATATTTTATTGATTTTTAGAGAGAGAGAGGGAGAGAGAGAGAGACATGGATGTGAGAGTGAAACATCAATCAGCTGCCTCTTTCATGCCCCAGATCTCATAACCTGGATATGTACCCCAACCAGGAATTGAACCAGCAACCCTTCAGTGCACGAGACAACGCTCAAACAACTGTGCCATACCAGCCAGGGCCATGTATGTTTTAGTAGCTGCCAAATGTTCCACCTTTTCTCCCTTTATTTCATTCTTTCTTCTTTTCTTCTCTTCCCTCCCTCATCTCTTCCTTCCATCCTTCCTTTCCTCCTTTTCTCCTTCCTCTCCTTCCTGAGATTTTAGGTAGTTTTTTTTTTTAAAAAATGTAGAACATCTTGAGTAAAAGGATTTATCTAATGCAATATATTATGGTCAACTGATATGCTACACAACAAAACACTCCAGCTAAACTTAAAACAAGTCAGAGAATCCGCAAGTATAATATTAAGACTTCTCGACAACCAAAACCCAATTCTGAAGGATCAACTTTTTTTAATTTAAAATTTTAAAATTTATTTTCTTTTAATTTTTTCCATCATCATTTACTCCCCCCTATATTCTCGGGATCAACTTTTAATGTAATAGATTCTGGCAATTTCCCTTTTGCTGTCTTTATAGTCTTTATAAGTCATCTAAACTATTGGTTATTTTTCATGTAACCATATCATGTTGTGAAAGAAGAAAAAGAAGAGGAGGAGGAGCAGGAAGAAGAAGAGAAATTATTTCAGAAATCCGAAAAGAAATGTTGTCAAATTGCCACATATAACTTGTATGTAAGTACATAGAAGCATCATGCTAGCGCTGGAAAGGATAAAGATCAGTGATTCTTCATTTTTCTTTTAAGTCACACCTGCCCAATATATTGTCATATCAAAGATATTTTCTCACCCTACCTGGTTTGCTCAGTGGATAGAGCGTTGGCCTATGGACTGAAAGGTCCCAGGTTTGATTCCAGTCAAGGGCACATGCCTGGGTTGTAAGCTTAATCTCCAGTGTGGGGCATGTAGGAGGCAACCGGTCAATGATTCTCTCTCATCATTGATGTTTCTGTCTCTCTCTCCCTTTCCCTTCCTCTCTGAAATCAATTTTTTAAAAAAGTTATCCCTTAAAAAACAAACAAACAAACAAACAAAAACAAAGATATTTTCTCTCTCTCTCTCCTGAAGCTATTATCAGTGTGAACCAATTAATATAAATTTGGCAAAATCGAATTTTAAATAGTAAAAAAATTTTTCTTAATGAAGTTTTTAAGTAAGTCAACCATGCATAAAAATATTTTGTATTCTTTTGAAAGGAAAAATATATATCCATGTCTATTTAGGAAATCACAATGCATAGTGAAAAATTTAGTCAACTATTTGGGTATTAGTTTCTATAGTACTAGATTTTTTTATGTCTCTCAATCTTGTGAATATAGCTAGTATATTTGAGTGCTGATAGATACATTTCATGATTACAGGACTTAATATACTAGAGAAACCAAAAGTTGTGTTGAGTATTGTTGGTAATTGTTGAATGAGCACAATTGGCTACCTCAATAGTAGGTATGAGGCATTCCTCCAGTTTCTACAAAGATGAAAAGACTAAATCCCTGCCATCCTGGAATTTTGTGCTAGGTGTTAGGAGGAAGTAGAGATTGGAATTAAAAAATACAAAAAGATTTGGGCCCAGCTCCTCAGGAAAGAGAAATTAGCATGTACACAAGTGTCTCTTCAGAATAAACTCTGGTAAAGGTATGAACGAATAGCTAGGAAAATATGGAATAGCCTGGAGAAGCTTGTTGGAGAAAGTAAGACTTGAAGAATGGATAGGACTCTGATAGACACATATGGGACCATATTCCAGATGGAAGAGAAAGGTAGAGAAGTGAAATTGTGTAGTGTACCATCGAAAATTATTTAATGGACTTAAAAGGAAGTTTCTAGAATAACACAAAATGAGGCCTAACGTTGTCTATTTTAATAGGCAATCAATAACTTTATTCATTCAGGAAATACTGTCATCATAAGTGCCATGAGAATATTTTACTAGTAATAAAAACACTTCTTTTAAAGATAGTTAAAATTCAATAAAGAGAAAAGTAAGTGTGAGAAATGTGTTTCTCATACTAGATTATTCCTGTATCTGGGTACCTCTGTGTTTCTCAGTATCTTCATCTAGATATCTATTTCTCATATTTATTAAATAACATTTCAAATATTAAAATGAAGACTTATGGAAAATCAGTCATTTTTTTTTTTCAAAGATAACTCATGGGTCACTTCTTTCTTTTTTTCCCCTTCTTTTTATTCATGAGTCACTTCTTATGTATCACTTGCTCTCAGAGTTTCAAATAACAACTGCATCTTAAAAAATGTACTTTTAAGTGAATGGAAAATGTCAGTTTTAAATTCTGCCATTCAGACATTCTACATTTGTGCTTATGCAAGTGAATGAAAATCTAGAAATATATTTAAAAGCCCACAGAGATATCCTGAAATCAGAAATTATCAACCAACTATATGAACGACCTCAGACTTTCCTATAAAAAGATATTAAAAGGCAAATAAACCGGGAATAAAGGCACACTAAGTAAATTCTAGCAGCATCAGAGTCACCCTGTAATAATCAAAATAGTAAACTTGTACAAAAGTTTTTGGTGATGTAGAGCATGAGAGTCCAGCGATAGTGTTTGTTCTGAGTGTCAATCTTCCTAATATGAAACCTCAAGCCAAGTGGTAACTAAATCCTAGCTCTAAAGCTCAGAAATCCAGGCCCCAGGAATATTTTACAGGGAGAATGGGTTGAAATGTCTTGAACACCAAATTAGAGTGAAATATGAGCAAATAGTGTGGATGGATGGGAGTGTTTGCAAGGGTAAAAGAAACACTCATTCTTATCTGTGGCTGGTTAAGCATGTTGGATAAAGCACTGGTTGGCTGTCTGGAACCGTATCTTTAATTTCAGTTTAACTTTCTTCTGTTACATAGTCTCAAACTGTAGCCCTGACCTAATAGAAGTCTCTCAATTACAGGTTCTTTTCAGTAAATAAATAAAACTTTTGAGTGCTCATGGAGATACTGTAGGTGTTACTGAAAGAGAAAGGTGTTAAAATTAAAAGGAAAAGATGTCATGCCTTCTGCTCTCAAAGATAAGAGCAATATTCATATTTAAG